GGCCTTTATCTGTAATTATTTTCATTTTGGGCCCTTATTTGTAATTATTTTCATTTTTGGGCCCTTATCTGTAAATTTCCCTAAATTAAATTACATAAATTACGTAAAATTACGGTAATTTCACAACCCTAATCACAAGCACACGAGCAAATTCATTAACAAGAAATCATGAATTCATTATTAAAAATGTGATTATTAGCAATCCGATTATTATTAGCAGTCCGATAAGAAGTGTGAAAATTCCTGATGACGTGCATTTTATTTTATGGTCATTGATAAGCCTATGGAAATATTATAGCGCTTTGCAAAAAGATGGGCCACATGATTTTTGTAATAATGATAGGAGAAAATTTCTGAGATTTTATATTTTCAATTACTTTATATTTTCGAGCAGTTACAGTTATATTTCTTCAAAATCTATAGAATCTCCGATTCTCACGCGGTATTGCTGTATTGTGGTCTGTAGAGAGACCTTTTTCTAACAATATTATGTATATTTGCATCTTTGTTATGCTATTCTATTACACTTTTAGGAACTGTTAGTGTTTCTATAATTTCAGACTCAATTCTCTGCCTATAATAACACACCGAGTATCGCCGCGACCCACCTACCGTACAGCACTGCATACAGTACCCCCTTGAAGAAGTATCCCCTTTGAATAGTACCAGGGTACTATTCAATTGTAAATTCTAGCGTTTTTGAAAAATACCCTGGTACTAATCAAGTAGTCAATTAGTTTCAGTATTTATTTATATATATACAGTATGTATGTGTTTAGCGAATATTATTATAGAACGATATTAGATATAACTTTAAGGTTATGAAACTACTTTCAACTATAACCTAAACTAATATATACAAAAATGCATATCGATATGTACAAGAAATTGACAAGTATATATACGAATTTAATAATTTATTAAAAATTGCGAAGTGTAACTTTATTGATAAATTAAAATTACACTATTACTGAGTATTTTTTTCAGCATTAATGCATGCAGTTACATATTTATTCTGATTTTTATCAGCAATAACACCTTTATTTGGTGAGATTCATTTTATGTATCATTTTTTTTTAAAAAAAATGGGTGTATTTCCCGATTTTTAGCATACCCAATCGTTAATTTTTTATTTTATTTTTTTTATTTTATTTTTTTTTTTATTTTTATTTTTATTTTTTTTTATTTTTTATACCCAATCGTTAATCATTCCATAGATTGTGATAGTTTATTTCATGTTCATTATAATAATTATTATCGCCCTTATCAAGTTTCACCTCGATGTTTGTTTCTTGATTTTTATCAATGGTTTCTTGAATTTCGCTCACAATTTCTTGATTTTCATAAATCAGTTCTTGATCTTCGCCATTTAATACATCAATCTCATCATCAGGTTGTTCAATCTCGTTATTAGGTTGATTTGTTTGGCAGTTTAAATAATCATAATTAAAGATTAACTCATCTTCGGATCCATCACGTTTATTGGATATGCCGCAACATTTAAAAGATTGTTGATTAAGTTAAGATCAATTTCATCCCATGAAACCTTGATCCAATTTACTACAACTCTGTAAGAGGGTCTTTTAATTTTACCCGTGGCTGTTAACTCTTTTATAGAATCAATCATTCATTCATTATAGTGTTGTCGCATCTATATTATAATAACAATTAAGATTATTTATTTATTTATTTATTTATTTGTTTATTAAAAATTTTTTCCTACCTTCGTTTTAAATGATTTATTTAGTGAAACATCCAAAGGTTGTAAATGAGATGTTAACCCACCAGGAATAACAGCAATGTTAGTATTTTTTTCACTAAAACATCTTTTTGCTGAATCTGCAATATAAGCAGTAAATGAATCTAAAATTAGCAATGATCGTGAGTTTGAAGATCTTGCACATTTAGTCCAAACTTTCTCAATTCAGTAAAGCATCTCACTTTCATTCATCCACCCAGTAGAATTAGCCCAGACAATAACTTCTTGTGAAAATTTTCTCATGGAATATTTTTAAGCTTAAAGATTACAAGAGAAGGAAGTTTTGTACCGTCTGACATACAGGCCAAAACTACTATAAAACTACACTTTTTTCATATTCAGTAATACAAATAGAAATTGATTGTGCACCTGATACATCAATAGTAGTATTATATGGTAAATCAAATGCTATGGGCGTTTTATTCATATTACTGATCAATGCAAGAGGGTAATCATATTGGATACATCTATACATAACAAATATTAAAAAAGCTTGTTGTGTTTCAATTAAATCATCTGGTAAATATTGTGAAAGGGTGGTGCGATGACAATTATTCAAATTGTTGTGACGCATTAGACCGTCTAACCATTTATTGTTAAAAGCAAATAACTGGATGCTGGGATATAAAAGTGGCCATTCATTTTGTTGAGAAAGTGTTTTAGCTTTTAGTTGAACTATACTTCGTGAAACTGCCTGTTGATTGTTTGTCTCTCTTTGATCCACTCAACTAAAAAAGCTTCTAAATTAGGATATTTTGGAGAAGCACCTTTATTTAAATGTTTTAAACCTGGTTGTGCTCTTAAAAATTAGGATTTTTTAAAAATCCAGTCTTGAAGTTGCTTTGTCTCAATATTAAATTTGGCGGCTGTTTGATGTTTGCTATGACTATTTTCATGATAAAAATAATATCAATTTTTCTTGTATATTCCATTGTCATCTTATTTTTTCTGTAATTGTTGTACAATTTGTTCTTTTGTTTGCTTATGAACTCATTTTTATAAAGTTATGAAGTTCAATCAATTTTGATCAAACCTCTATTTATTTAATTACAATTTTATTTATATTTTTTATACCATTACTATATTATGTTCATGATTAGAAACATTATCAGCTCATTCGACTCTATTGATTTATTGGTTTTTATAATAGTTAAATATGCAAGCTGGGTAAAGCTGATAACGTATCTGTTCATGATCTGAATCAATACAATTGATTAATAATACTCTTTTCACTATATCCCTCTTGTAAAGTATCTGCCTCTTCATACAATATCTCTGAGGGTATTATTTAATTAGTCGTGACTTTTTGAAAAAGACCTGGGGTACTGTATAAAGCACTGTATGGTAGTATTGTCACCAAATCATGTACGTAATATTAGGGTGATCATCAAACTAATAAAATCAAACTATAGGTAGCCGTACATATAAAATTTACTATGTAAGGATTTTTTATAGGTTTTTTGATGATCTCAGAAATTTTATAAATTTCACTTTTTGCAAATTATTTTCTTTATTTATCTAACAACTTATTT